GAGTGAGCTCAGAAAGGAAGATATAAAAGTCGTATTTCCCTTTTGACAGCCTCATCAACTGCTACCAATCGCTTCAGAGATGGAAATCGGCAGAGTTCCTGGGTGGAAACATGGTTTCTAACTACCAGAGGATAAAGGTCTGAAAGGCAGCAGCAGAAAAATACCTGGGTTTAAAATAAGAGTGAATTATGTTTATGCCACGGTCGCTGGCTTTCGTGGCGGGTAGGACTTGGTGATCCCGGAGCTGCGAACGTCCCGCTTCCCAGAACAGGGGATCTCACGGCCCCAGTCTCACGGCGGTCGCCTGTGAAAACTTACCAAAAGCGGACGCTAACCTGGATTAAACGCATGCTTCCCTTGCCTAAAGTGGCTGCATTTGCACCTACGCGTCCAAACTGAGGCTCACAAGCTCTTCTAGACAGATCAGATAATTAAATTTAGACTCAATTTAATTATCATTTTAATTATGCTTTCAGTTGAGGTACTGATGGCCTTCCGCAGAAGTGCCTCTCGGAAGCATTTTCGCTTGCCTGAGAAATGTTTTCGGGAGCACCAAGAGCAGTATCACCTTTCTTTCCTGTTTTTCCCCGTTATCCGCGTGGTGGGTTACCGATACAGGGCAGCGTGAACACTTAACTGCAAAGAGGGGTTTTAAAAACCCCTGAATAGTTCACCTACTGCAATGCTGACTTACCATTGAATTTGACAGGTGAATATCGCCTAAGATCAGAAAGGTTCTCTACAATATGTTCTCCCTAAATGACCGTCTCCCACAGTTACTTCACATTAATTTCGACGCGACACTGGTGTATCATTTCGGTTTCTCACTCCAAGCAGTATTTCCCATTACTGAACAAATTCAAAACACCTTCACGGCACGCAGGCATTTCGCTTCCAATCCCTTTGTTCCAAAGGGGAAGGGTTGTATATCTACCGCTCCAAAAAAGCGCGTCTTTACTAACAGCCAGGAATTTTAATCAACCAAAGAGTATACAAAAAAAACCCCCCAGACATCTGAACAAGAATATCTGAAATACTTAGCACATGCGCATTAAAATGAAAGGTCGCTACAGGCACATCATTCGGTAGAGAGAAATCCCTTCTGAAAAATGTAAACATTTACTTTGGTAAAAAAAAAAGTTAAGATGCTTAACTGGGTAAGTTGATATTTGTAACTTCCAGGATAAAAGTTAATCAGATTTAATATATATTTCATCCAAAAGATACCCTGCTAACTGCCATCAGCCCTTTTAATGACTACATACATCTAGCAAGAATAAATATTCAGACCACAGTTGTTGGTTGGGGTTTTTTTTTTATGTGCTCAACCATAAAGGTCAAGAGAAACCGTGAAACAGTTAAAATTCAAGATCAAAAAGAACTAAAAAAAATAAGCACTTGGCCTCCTAGTACTAATTTCCTTTTTCTTTACGTTGCTCAACATCGCTCCTCAATTTGGGTTCTAATCAACAACCACTTCACAGTTAACATTTCATGAAATAATGCGGTTGATGCAATCAAGTCCAGCAAAATGTTTCCCTAAAGATGTTTCCGGGATTCACATTCCTTAAAAAAAAAAAAACCAAAAAAACACAAACCAAACCCCAAAAAACTCTAGCTCCTTCCATCGCTATTTAACAGCAAGAATAAACACACCACTGCATCTTAAATCGTATTTTGATTAAAACATAAATAGAATCACTTGGGGTTTCTTTCTGGTTAGTACAACATGCCTTTGTCCAGGAGAGGGGGGAAAAAAACCCAACCTTAACCTGCTCATTTTTCTACATTTGACAGTATTCAGCACTAAACGAATGCCTTTTGAATGAAATCCAGTCTGTGGAAATGCAAGCCATAACCTGAAAGCTTATCATCACGATGGGCAGGGGGGGAAGAAAAAAAAAAAGAGGAAAAAAAATCCTTCCAAAACCCAACACGGTATAAAACCCTTTTTTTGACCATGAATATTTACTTCATTTCCATATCTCAAGGCTCCTCCGTTTTCTGTAAAGGGCTGAAGCTAAGCACCTTTTTGGCATTATTAACCGGCAACACAGCAATGGACTTCGCTGCCCTGAAACCCACGACGCCGGTAACAAAGTACTCAAGCAATCGTTACCCCCCAAAAATAATAAACCACCCCTTTCATAAAAATGAATAGAATATACTATTTTGTAGGGAGGGAAAAATAACGCCGCCTTACGTGTCACAGCCTGGCGCTCTCGGCTTTCGCGCCGCAGAGACGATGCACGCCGACATCCCCCCGCTCATCAAACCCGGGCCATTTTTAAACCCCCCCGCAAAGGGGAGCGGGACGGGGGAGATGGCCGCAACTCAGCCCTTCCCACCCCATAAAGTTGCTGGCGGGCTCGTTAATATTCCCTATATCATCGCCGCCGTCGTCGTCGTCGTCGTCCCCGCGTGCCCCTCTCGATATTTCCAGTGGGTACGCCGTGAAGCGGTGGCGGCGGGCCCCCGTCTCCGGGGGGCACCCCAATCCCCCCAGCCCCCGGCCGACACCTCCC